AGAGCTGGCTTGGGATGCCAGAGGGCCCTGGTTCGGATCCCACATATGAGAGCCAGTGACACTGCCCTCTACAGCTAAGATGCTGAACAACAGCGCAACCTGGATCTGGGCTGCTGTGGGTCACCGGCTACAGCATAGGCTGCAGCCCCTGCTGCAGTGGGTTGCCATGGGCTACCGTGTGTAGCCAGCAGCCACTGTGAGCGGCTGTCCAGAAGCCAGCGACTGATCTGCCTCGCCCGGGAAGAGTGCAGTGATGGTGCCAACTTGGGCCAGTGAAGCAACGTCCTCCACAACTAGACTGAAGAACAAAAAAAGGACAGCAACTTGTCTGTTCCCCTTCCCCCACTTTCCCAATTAAAAAAAAATCTTAAAAAAAAATACAGACAGGAGAACCTGTTGGATTGTCACTGCATGCCTTCATTACTTTTTGTCTCATATTAGGGTACAGGTATCCTGATCTACTGCTTCTTGTACCATTGTTAGGTCTCTTTTTGTAAACTGAACACCCAGAATGCCCCCTGCAAGGCTCAAGGACCATGGTGGAAGAGGTGGTAAAAGGGGCATGATGGGCAGACCAGTCTGAGTCCATCTTACAAACTAATCCTCCTTGGTTGAGCTTGGACCAGTTGCCTTACCTTCCTCAAGATTGAGGGATGAACAGAAAAAGGGGGGAACTGTAACAGGGTAAAATGCTTCCTCCTTAACTCCACCTTAATTCCAGCCAGTGTTTCTATAGATAAGCTAATTGACTGGAGTTATGCCTGAGCCTTGAGTAACTTCCGGTCTGAAGGACTGGGAACAAAGAGATTTGGAGATTCCCCCCTTCCTTGGATTCCACCTCTTGCCCCACCCCTTCTCCATTCCCTGGATATATAGGATGCTGGAACTTGGGGTGCTCTTAAATTGGATTTGAGAAAACTAGAAATCTCCCATCTTCTCATGATGGCACCATTTCCATAAATAAGACCTTTCCTTATTCCAAACTGATCTATTGAATATTAAATATTTGATGCACTGAGCACACGGGCCTTGTGACTGCAACATAGTGACTCTAGTTGATAATACTGTATTGTATACTTGAAAGTTGTTAAGAGAGTAACAAAAGATGTTAACAAAAGTTCTCATCAAACAAAAAATTTTAACTGTGAGGTGACGAATGTTCACTAGACTTACTGTGGTGATCATTTTGCAACATATGCAGATACTGAAATATTATGTTGTCCACCTCAAATTAATATAATGTTTCATGTCAATTATACCTCAATCTAAAAAAAGAGGAATACAAAATTACAAAACAACAATGCCTGGGCTTCTCCTAGGGCCCTTCAAAGGACCCTGGAGCTCCATCTGCTTTGCAGGAAACACACCCCTGGCTTAGGCTCTAACTCCTACACTAGGCTGGGTGGGGATTAAGTGAGTTTGCAGATGAAGATGCTTGATAAATGGGACCTTGAAAAACATAAGCAAAAGAGCTGGCTGCAGGAGGGGTGTGTGGCGTCCTCACCTCTCTGCTGGCTTGCCGGACACCAGCGCCTTCTGTGAAGACATAATGACTGAGGGCGGCATGGCTTCCCGGCGGCCGTCACGAGTGCAATAGTAATTGCTGGAGAGCTTGTGGCTGGGGCCCACAGGGAGCCTGGGAGGAGGCTGAGTTCTGAAGAAAGAGGACATCAGCACTGAAGCAAAGCCATAAATGCTCTTGCTGCCTGGCTGGGCAGGGCTTGTCACCTCAGTCACTGGGACAAGCTGCAGGCTAGGAGTATCCCTTCCCTTGGTACAATTATGGAAGGACATGCCTGGAGAGAGTCCAGGGCCTAGAAGCATGTGGCAGCCCACGCTTCAGATGTCAAGGCCCTGAAAGGTGAGGTCTGGGTCTGTCCCAATACAGGACCCCCACTTGCCCCAAATGCGGCATGTACGGACAGACAACCTTTTGTGAAACCTCCCAAGGAAGGGGCAGGCCCAGACTGGACACCTGGGCCTGTTTCCACCCCACCATGGCCTCACTTCCACCTGCAGATGCTCAGGAAATGAAGAGGCCAAGGGGCCTCTTCAGGCCTCTCTGCTCACCACCTATCCAGTAGCTAAGAGTCTGTAAATGCTTGGGCAGCAAGCTCCAAACATAGCTCAGTCTGAGGGGCTTCCTCCCCAAAGACCAGACTACAGGACTCCTGGGTTTCCTGTTATCTCAGGAAGTCTCTGGAGAACCCTGCTGGGATCAAGGATTATTACTCAAAGAGCACCATGTGCCCCATGTCTCCCAGGCCTCTGCACTTCCTGCCCCCTCATAATGGATGCAATCAGAGGTGAACAGAGCTCTGTTGTGACTTGGGCTAAACCTTGGGGTGAATTTACAAAGATGCTGGAAGCTTGAAAAGGAAACCCTAACCTCAAAACAGTTTCCCTGGAAAACAGCAGAGATGGAGGGCAGAAAAATAATAAAAAGATCAGGTTTTCATTCAACCATGTTTTTAAATAAACTTCTGGCTGATAATCATTTTGTCAGAATTTAAGTTTTTCTTAAAACAAGTGGCCATTATTTTTTAAAAGAGAAATATAAAAATAAAAATGAAAAATTTAACATTCAAAGTAATATCCTGTGTGGAAGTTAGAATTTGTTTAACCCCTGGAGTGCAGAGTTAACCTCTGTAGGCATGGCTATAGCTTTCTGCAACCTAGCCCAGAAAAGGTACAAAGAACCAATGCCTAATGACCCAAATGAATCACTAGTGGGCGCCATTATCCTAAAGCTGAAAATTTTACAAAACCATTTCTTCACCTGGCCTAACTACCTTGAATGGAAAAGCAATTTAAAACTTTTGGTAACAGGAATTAGTTACACCATGTAGGCATTCACATAAATTTGGTTATTTTAATGCTCTTTCTCTTCCTTTCCTGCTAAGCCTCCATAGCTGCCTTACCTTTGCTTGACAGACTTCATGTAACTGCTACCCCCTTTCCTCCATGTGTTTCAACCACACCTGCCTCCTTCCTACTTGTGGCTCTGTTGGCCCTCACAGCCTTGGTGCTTACTGCTCCCTTTGCCCAGGATGTTTTCTTCAATAATTATCCTTTGGCTACAACTTCTCATCATTCAGGTGACTCAAATGTCAATCCCTGAAAAGAGGCTTTTCCTGACCACCTGACCAGAGGTAGCCACCCTCCAGTTAATTCATTTTGTCTGCAGAGCATTCCAGAACAAAGTTTTTTTACCTGCTGTGTTTATTTCCCTACTATGTTTCTCTCTCTCTAGGATATGAAGGAATGAGGGCAAGAATTTTTCTTGTTCGCACCGGTATCCCCAAGGCTGAGAACATGGCAGGGGCCCGTAAATAGCAAGTAATTTTTTGAACATAACTGAGTTTGAAATCAAGACACTTCTGGGTACAAGTCCCAGCTGTCACTTTCTAGCTTCTGAGTGGCTTTAAGCAAATGATTTAGTCTCTCCACGCCTCAAATTTTTTCATCTGTAGCTTGGGGATGATAACACTAAATGGCACGGCCACACTGAGGACTGCAAATCACAATTTGGATTCCCACTCAGAATTCACGACCCATCTGACTGTTTCCACAAGCAGCAGTCTCCCAACAGAGTCCAGCAAGGGGGCTGGAGGCAGGATTTTGGTCCAGGGCTCCAGGGCTCTAAAGGAACACGAGCTTTGTATTTTGGTGGAGGAAGGACAGAACAGGGCGAGTGTTTGGGCGGCGAGCGGGGCCTGCTCACCGCTTGGCGATCTCCTGGTATCGCAGCTGCAGCTTCACCTGCAAGTCTTGCTGTGGGAAGAGGAGAGGAAGGTCAGCCAGCAGGGCACCCCAGGAGCGGGAAGGGCCAGGAGAGGAGAGGGGCAGCCCGGGACGGACAAATGACGAGAAGACGGGAGATGGGCAGTTGGGGACTGGGAAGTAGGCCTTATGAAGAGGGAAGTCAGGGGCTGGGGCCACTAGATCCAAGGCTAACAAGGTTCGGGACTAAGGAGATGCCAGGGATGAGTAGATCTCCGGCCAAGGGCTGGGGGTGTGTCCCGGGCTGAGGGGGTCAAGAGTTGGAGGTCCTGGCTGAGCGAGGGTTCTCTGTCCAGGGGGATCTCGGCACTAAGGCTTTCAAGCCCAGGGTGCAGGAGGAAATGGAGACGCGGGCCCCAGGCGCACGGAGCCCACAGCCCCCTCAGTGAGGCCCTTCCCGCCCCGCGCACCCCGGAGGCCCAGTTCCGTAGCCTCTGGATGAAGCGGGTAGCAGATGCCATCTTCCGTCCGCTCTTGAAGGACGCCGGCGACGTCGCTACCGCGGGGGATGCTAGGAAGTGCACGTTTGGTCTCGCGAGAGTGGGTGGAGGCGGGGCTAAGGAGTCGCATAAAGACTCTCCCTGAAGCACGTGACTCCTCTCAGCCCGACTGCCGCCGTGCCGCCATTATGGATACCAGCCGTGTGCAACCTATCAAACTAGCTAGGGTGAGAGGGGGGCCCGGTTTGGGGGCCGGAGTGAGGGAGGAAGGAAAGGGGGGCCGGGCGGGCCAGGTCTGACCCCAACTTCTTTTCGCTAGGTCACCAAGGTGCTGGGCAGGACCGGCTCCCAGGGACAGTGCACGCAGGTGAGCGGATGGGGGCGTCCCCAGGTCTGAACCATGCCTTGCCCCTTCCATGCCCCAGGCCCTGCCAGTTGGATTCCGAGAACCGACGTCCGTTTTATCCCAGGGCTCCTGGAGGGTCCGAACCCTTACCAAGGCCCTGCCAGCCGGGTCTGAGCTCCGACGAACCTCTTTCCCTTGGCTCAGCCGGCCCCAACGACCACTGTGTAGCTCCACACCCTGCTGAGTATGCTCCGGTGCCCAGAGCTGCAGTTGTCCCCTCTGGTGGCCGCTTCTGGGACCCAAAAGCTTTGTTCGCCATATCTCCGCCCATTTGGGCTTTTCTCCCTTCCCAGCCCTACCTGCCAGCCAGCCTCAGTTCCCTTTTTAAGTATCTCTGGGCCGGCCCCGGCACGTCTAACTCCAGATCTGCTGCCCACCTCACGGTCCTTATCTGTAGCGGTCCCAGACTCCTTTCCGTCATTCCCGCCCCCTTTGGGTCCCGTAGGTGCGCGTGGAATTCATGGACGATACGAGCCGCTCCATCATCCGCAATGTAAAGGGCCCGGTGCGCGAGGGCGATGTGCTCACCCTATTGGAATCAGAGCGAGAGGCTCGGAGGCTGCGCTGAATTTAAGTCTGGTGAGTGCAGTACTTGAGTTGGGGAACTGAAAGCCGGCCCGCTAGACTCTCAGCTGGTGGTAGGGAGGCTTTGCCAAGCCCAAGGTGAGGGGCTCATGGCAGGGGTGGTGATGTAGAAAGGGTCTGCTGAAATTGGCAAGTCGGGGTGGGGAGGGGGGGGTTGCCAGTTGCTGGGGAGGCCTGTCAGCATCTCATGCTTGGGTCTGTTTACAGGGTCCTGGATGTTTGGGTCCACCATTTGGCCTACAGGGATGATCTTCGACTGTTAATAAAGTGTTTGTATTGTATGTAAACTCAGGTTTTTTCTGGGTTGTCACTAAGTTTATAAAACCTTCCAGTGGAACTCCCACTGGAAGTGGGGTCACTGACCCTTTGCATTCTGGAAACCTGGGTGCTTCCTCAGCAAGGCCTTTTCTTTTTGAGGAGTGGGAACCATGTGTCTATGTGCCCCTGAAACAAGACACAAGTTTAGCTAGGAATGTTTTATTAGGGAAGGAGGTTGGGCCAGGGCTAGCATCTGGCCCGTGAACCCTGGCCCCTGCTGTACCCCAGAGGCTGAAATCGGGTTTGCGGGAATCTCTTCACCCCCATCAGGCTGCTCACTGAGACTGGGGGTCCTCTCCATTGTCGCTGCTGCTTTCACCAGGCATGGCCGTGGGGGAATCAGGGGCTGACTGGTGAGAGAGAGAGAGAGAGAGAGGTGTGTGGGGAGGGGAGCGTTTTTTTGTCACAGTCTCTTCTTGGCAGGACTCTGGGTTTTAGCCCCCTCGGACTCAGGGATGCTTAACCTAGTAGAGGTCTTGTTCCTATCCATGGTGGTTATGTCTAAGGAGGAACCCCACCCTTTACAGTGGAGCCATGTTGCCTGGGTTTGGATCCCACCGTTGCCCCATCTAACCTGGAGGAGGCACGTGACCGCTATCCCTGTTTTCCCACATCTCTACAGGAGAGAGCAGGATGGGCATGTTGATGGAGTTTAATTATTCAAGTGCTGAGAATAGCCTGGCATTTGCCTTTTGAGCATAAGCTCTCCCCCTTGGGGACATACTGAGTATTCCCCTCCCTGCCTGCTACTGGCATATTCATCCAGTCTCCAGTTCTGAAGCTCTGTGACTTGCAGGGAGCCTGCATCCTTTTCCCCCATCAGGCCTAACTCCAAAGGGTTCCTAATTCCTTTCCTATGAGCCTTCCAAGGGGCAGTCACAGTTCACTGACAAAGGTCTAACAGCTCTCCTCTGCTCATAGGTCACTTTCCCTCTGCTGGTCTCAGGCCCATGACCTATAAAGTGGAGGAGTGTCAGCCACATAGGGGATTCAGACCCCGGTTCCCCATCCCCGCTGCTCCCCTGGGGACAGGAAGGAGGCCTTCCTAGGGCACACTTGGTAGCCTCCCCCATGTGCTGCTGGAAAGCTTTGTTGCCTGGGGCTGGGGCTGCACTCACCAGGGGACCAGGCTGGCCTGAGCTCAGGTGGGCATGCAGCAGAGCTGCCACCTCATCCTGCCCAGTCTCCAAGGCCATGGCCAGGGCACTAGTGCCCTCCTGAAGGATAAAAGGGAGAGTCAGGTCCCTGAACCAGGGCATGGATACCCTGCCACCCTCCCCCCACCAGCCCCATTGGCTCACATTATCCAGGAGGGTGGGATCGCAGCCTGGCTGGGCCAGCAGCAACCGGACAGTGTCCAGGTGCCCGTACTCACTGGCACACATCAGCGCTGTGGCCCCATCCGCATCTTGCACATTGACGTCTGCCCCACATACCAGCAGGGCCGCCACCATGTCCTGCCGGCCATGGCTGATGGCCAGCATGAGAGCTGTCTGCCCCGTCTGGGGAGTGGGGAAGGATACAATTAACTCCTGAAGTGGAAGTGACCCTGGACTTGGAGCCAGGGAGGGTATCCACGCACCTGGCTGGCCTTGGCATTGACATCACCAATGCGGAAGAGCCTGTGGACCACAGCCATGTCCTCCTCTTGCCCCACAGAGGTGAGCGCAGCCAACATGAGGGCAGAGTATCCTGCTCGATTCTGTCGGTCAACCTTGCAGACCCCTGGAAGAGGGAGTCAGTCAACTGAGAAGAGCCAACACTCCCAGCCCAGCCTGGTCTACTCACATCTCCCAGTGTTTGCTTCATCTGCATAACGGGGGCGGTCACTATGGGTCACGCAGGACTTGACTGTCCCCTTTGCCTATAATGCTCTCCCCCCCCCCGCCCCCGAGAGCCATGTGGCTCCTCCCTCAACTTCAGGGTTCTGCTCAAATCTCAGTGAAGCCTTCCCCCACTTACTTCAAACTGCTTTTGGGACTTGGTTTTGTTTGCTGCTGTATCCCCCAGTAACTAGAACAATACCTGGCACATAATAGATGCTCAATAAGGGATGTTTATTTTGGTGGCTACTACCCACCAAGCTGCCATCATTACTCCAGAGAACTGTGTCAGTGGTCCACCTTGGTCTGAATCTCGTTTGCATGCAGCAGCCAGAAGCAGATAAAAAAATGTGGCCTAGTCTCCTATTTAAAACCTATTTCCTATTGCTCCTGGAATACAGGCCACTGTCCATGATGGTCTCTCAGGCTCCCTGCTATCTAACTTCTTTTCCTTTCTCTGGAATTCTCATCCTCCCCAAGCCTGTTACAGATTGAATTGTGTCCTTGAAAAAGATGTTCAAGTCCTAACCCCCAATACTGTGAATGGGACCTTATTTGGAAATAGGGGTTTTGCAGATGTAATCAAGTTAAGATGAGGCCCTAATCCCATGACAGGTCCAAGGAGATGGGGTGGGGCAATGGATAATGGTCCCATAAGGTCCAAGGATTGTTGGAGAACAGGAGACAGCAATTCGAGACATCAGGAGGTGAGTTGAGAAGGTCCTGGGGATTGAAGTTATGGAGGGGGCGTAATTGGTGATATCAGGGATTTTGGGTGACCTTCCAAGTGTAAGGCTGATGTAGGGTAGAGAACAAGGTGAAGGGAGAGGAGGAGGTCAAGGAATTGAAGTCAGGAGGTTGGAGGGATGAGATGAAACAGCCCCTACATGAGGGGTGCGTTGAGGGGCTCAGGATTCTGGGTGAGGCCAGGTTGACATGGCAGCAAGCAGGTAAGGGCAAAGGGAATACTGGTGGTGACTGATGTGAGAACCAGAAGGCCCAGTGCAACATCTGGGGAGTTGGAGCTGAAGGGGGTTCAAATACTGGGAATAAAAAATAAAGAGGTCCAAGGAGCCTTGGGGCTCTTGTGATGGCCGTTTCTGCCCTGTCACCTGCCACAGCCCCAGTTCCCTGTAAGGCAGGAGATTCCCAGGAAATATCTTTCAAATTCATGTATCGTCCCCTCCTCCCAAGCCCGAGCTCCCTGACCCGCCTTGAGTCACCAAGTCTTGCAGGGATGGGAATGATCTGTGTGTTTGGGGGTGAGGGAGTGTATAGGGGACCCAACTCAACTTCAGTGAGATTTGAGAGGCCTTCAAAGGGGAAGCCCCAAAGGTTACTGAGCCTGAAGGAGGACACCCAGAAGGGCTCTTGGTGGGCAGTCAGTTTGTCTACTGTCCACTGCCCTCTATGCTGAGTCCCATGGGGAAAACAGCTGTATGTGGGTGGCCTACCTCCACCCCAGCACTGCAATGGCACCTAGTAGGCTCTCAGTACATGTCTGGGCTCATCAACACCTGGGGCTGTGTATCTGCTCCAAAGGCAGGAGATGAGCTAGTAAGAGGCAGGTGAAGAAACGTGTGAAATGGAGCCAGTGCAGGACCTAGGAGTGGGGTACAGCACAATGCCCCCAGCCCAGGAGGGTAGTCACAGCCCTGACCAGTGGGTACTCAAGACTAGAGAGGCAGGTGGCTGGACTTTGGGGCCAAGAGGTGAGCGCCAGGACTGGAGATTCAGGGATAGAAGGCCTGGTGACCACTGACTGACCACCTCCCACATGCCTCACACTGTTCAGCGTGTGCTACCACAGCTGCCCAGGTAGGGAAGTGATGCATCCCCATTTCGCAGATGAGGAAGCTAAGGTTGGTGAGATTAAGTAATTCCCCTAAATTTAGATCGTCAAAGCCCAGAATTGCTCCCGCCCCCCACAAAGTGAGAGGCAGGTAAGAGCAGAGTTTAGAGCTCTGAGAGATCAATGCATCTACGATGGATCCTGTAAACCAACCCCCAAGGAAGGGCGGGTGGTGCCATCTGCCTGGCCAGCCTTTCTCTGCCTCCTACTCCAGGTTCTCCCAGCCGGGGACCTGCTCAGGCTCTCCCTTCCATGCCCCCTCTCCCCCACCCCTTGCCTGGTGCCCTGCCCACCCCTCCTCTATGCTGACCGGTATCCAGCAGCAAGCTGGAGATGGCCAGGTTCCCATGGGACACGCTGTAGTGCAGGGCTGTGTTCCCGTTGCCATCTGCCAGGTTCACCACGTAGTCCAGCAGCTCGGGTCCCAGGCGCACAATCGCACCCAGAACCCCAGCTACAGGCTCTGCCTGAGAGCGCCGCTGGCTCGACACTCGAAACCACTCCTGGGCCACAAGGCGCGCCGCGCCCTGCGAGGACGGGGAAAGGCATCGGCGAAGGTCCGGGCAAGGTGGCAGGGAGAGTGTGAGGGGGGCCTGGGAATCCAGGCAGGGGAGGATGATCACTGCTTAGCGGGGGGGGGGTTGTGGGACCCATGGGGCCGCACCCCTTTGGAGGAGCGAGTACAGTCAGTGTGGGTCCCAGGTTCGCGAGGGCAAGGGTCTTCCCCGTCTGGGGAAGAGCATGTGAGAGAACAGGAATTGAAGGCAAGGAGAGCCTGGGGCTTGGGTCTGTGCTTGAGGTGGGGCCCTTTGGGGGAACCAGGGAAAATCAGCACTGTCCTGGGGCGATGATCCCTTTGGAGAGCCTGGGATTGGTGGAGGTCCCTGGAGCAAGGGAGCGGAAGACAGAACCCTTCCCCAACTCTAGGAAACCCGACATGCTCCCTTAGGACATCAGGGGAGGTCCCTGGCGAGCCCACGGTTCCATCTGTGAAGAGCTGTCCCCACACTCACGCCGTCGCAGGCGACTCCACGGGACCGGATCAGCTGCCGGTGCAGCGCTGCGCAGGCCTCCCTCAATCGCGGGCTAAGTTCACACCTACCAAAGAGGCCGAGAGAGGCTCACGAGGGGTTAGGGTGGGGATGCGGGGCTGGAAAGAGAACCGTCCCCACTCTGTGTCTCTGGCACCGCTCACCTCCCTTGCGCACCCGGCTGAGGTTCTGGCTCCGGGTCCTGGGCATCCTCGCCGCTGGGAGGGCCGGGAGTGCTGGAGTCGGATCCCCCGCCGCTCTCG